GCACAGTTGGCCTGTTTCAGGCTAAAAACGCACAGTTGAGCCCATAAACGCACAGTTGAGCCGTAAACGTACAGTTGGCCTGTAAACGCACAGTTGGCCTGTAAACGCACAGTTGAGCCTGTAAACGCACAGTTGGCCTGTAAACGCACAGTTGGCCTGTTTCAGGCTAAAAACGCACAGTTGAGCCCATAAACGCACAGTTGGCCTGTAAACGCACAGTTGGCCTGTTTAAAGGCTGAAAACGCACAGTTGTGCTGTTTTAAAGATTAACTCTGCGTTTCTAGATTGAAAACGCAGAGTTGAGCCTGTTTAAAGGCTGAAAACGCACAGTTGTGCTGTTTTAGAGATGAACTCTGCGTTTTAATGCAGAGGCGAACCTTAGGCGGGCTTGGCGGGCTTCAGGCTAAGTCCAATGTTCTGATGAAGTCCAGTCTTGCAGACGGACCTCAGAACATAATTTGCTGCGAAGAACAGGTCATAACTTTCAAACCGTAAGTCGGAATTAGACGAATTATATATGAAAATCGGCTATCTCGACGAGACGGGGCCATCTGAACCGAGCCAAAGGCTTCGGTTCGCTTCCTCCGTTTCGCCAAATTCCTTACGGTTTGAGAGATATTTGCATTCTAATATGAAGAGACCGTCAATTTGTAGTCTCTTTTGCTAGAGCTTTGCACAGATCGTCCTCTTGTAATCTTCGTCTTGGCTCCTTGAAAATATGAGAGTCGTCAGGTTGTAACTCCCGATGTTGATTGTGAATGCTGTTGAATTGGGGCCTTCATTAGTTGTTGTGAAGGTCGTCAGATTGTAACCTTCTACGTGAAAGTCCTCAAATTGTAGCCTTCTGGAAGTCGTCAGATTATAACTTCCATCATCGGTGTTTGATGAGGGATTAACTATCTATTGTGATTTTTAGACAGCCTACAGAACCCCCTCCAAAGTTTTCGAAAGTTCGCGGTTGACTGGGACGAATTTTCGGAATACTTTGGATCTCAACTCTGATCTTGGAGCTGTTGATTCCTTGTCACAAAGGAGTTGTTCTCTGCACTCGCTTCGAAAGCAGCTTGGTTGAACGGATTTTCCATGCAGGACCTGTGTGAAGGTATGTGCCATAATCCTGCTTCTGGAATGTGGGGGTGGACCCTGCATTTTGAACTTGAGATGCGGGTTTCACCGTTGCATGTTGAATTTGGAACACAGGTGTGACCTCGGCGTTTGGTTTTTTGCATCGCGGGTCAACATTTTGACTTAAGACATGGAAGTGGCTTCCGTGCATTTTTGACTAAGTCTTTGAGACTTGTCTTTGGCGCATCTGTTTTAAGTCTCGACTCACATCTATTAAGCCGATGGGCCTGCAAATGTGCGTAGGATTTTTGGCAAACCCTCAGCCATCAACGGATTTGATAAGCCTTTACCGACTACCGTTTGAGTCGGGCTAGCATGTGAATTATCTAGGTCCGTTCCACATGTAACGTTGTGCTAAGAGAATGAACTCTCTTAGTCTTGATGCTATGATTTTGAATACATAGACTTTGTCATTTTGACGGGAAAAGACTAACCGGCAACGCGTGTTAGGCGTAGACTTATCTCTTATTAGGGATCGAGATAAAGTCCCCCATGCGTGTGAGGCATGGATTTTGATGTCCTTTTCACGGTAAAAGACTAACCGGCAACGCGTGTTAGGCGTAGACTTATCTCTATTTAGGGATCAAGATAAAGTCCCCCATGCGTGTGAGGCATGGATTTTGATGTCCTTTTCACGGTAAAAGACTAACCGGCAACGTGTGTTAGACATTGACTTATCCCTACTTAGGATTCAGGATAAAATTCCCCATGCGTGTAAGGCATGGATTTTGGCGTTATTAATAACGACCTGCTACGATATTGAATACGTAGGCTTTGCTATTATTGCGGGAATAGGCTACCCGGCAGCATGTGTTAGATGCAGACTTATCTCTAATTAGGGATCGAGATAAAGTCCCCCATGCGTGAAGGCATGGATTTTTGGTGTCATTTCTTCCTGTGTAGCTTGAAACACCGAAAGAATTAACAAGTTCATTGGGGGGTTGACTGTTAGAGGTGTTATGTTAACATAACAGTATTTTACGGACCTATCGCTCTATTGAAGAGAGTCGATAAGTTGATTTGGTCGTCAGAGGTGTGGTGTTAACTTGACGAGTTTGTGGACCTATCGCTCCATTGAAGAGAGTCGATAAGCGGATTTTGTCAGAGGTGTAGTGTTAACGTGACAAGAAAGATATTGCTATGGAAGCAATTTTGAGAACTTATCGCTCAATTGGAGAGAGTCGATAAGTTGATTTGGTCGTCAGAGGTGTGGTGTTAACTTGACGAGTTTGTGGACCTATCGCTCTATTGAAGAGAGTCGATAAGTGGATTTTGTCAGAGGTGTAGTGTTAACGTGACAAGAAAGATATTGCTATGGAAGCAATTTTGAGAACTTATCGCTCTATTGGAAAGAGTCGATAAGTTGATTTTGTCAGAGGTGTAGTGTTAACGTGACAGGATTTGTGTTGCAATTGGAGCAACTTTGGGGACTTATCATCCTATTGACGAGGATTGATAAGTGGGTTTTGTCAGAGGTGTATTGTTAACGTGACAAGAATTTGGAGTGATGCAAACTGAATGCATACTCTGTGGGGATGATGATCGTCAGAAGTGTAATGTTAACTCGACGATGTTATAAATACCCATTGGGTGTTTTTTAGGGTTAAGAGCAAGGACGAATTTGAGCAGATTGAGAGAGTTTTCTTTGGGCTTCTATTCTAGGAGCAATTGGAGAGATTGAGAGTTGATTGTTGAGGGTTTATGAGAGATTTGTAACCCTAGTTTGTTCCTCTTGATTTCTAATAGTGAAAACTCCCCCTCCTTGCCTCGTGGACGTAGGCATCTTGCCGAACCACGTAAAACTGGTGTTTGGTTGTTTGTGCTGTTGATTTTGGTTGGTTGTTTATCTTTCTTGGCGATTGTTTTGGTTTCTCGAGGCACAACAATTGGTATCAGAGCTCCGGGCTACGCTTGGGCTATTTTGGAGGAGTAGATCGCTTTGGAAGTTCATCTAGGGCTTCGTTTGGTGATAAAGGTGGGATCTTTTCAGTAAAAATCTCGTCTTTTTCAATTTGGATCTATTTCTCGTTTGTTTCCGCATTGGTTTGGTGGTGCTTTGAGATATATGGCTGAAAAAGATAAAAGTGGGGAGGGTTCTTCTGGTGTGAAGGCCGTCCAAAGTTTGAATATACATTCTATGAAAATAGATGTGAAAAAGTTCAGCGGCACAAATAATTTTGGACTTTGGCGATGCGAAGTCATGGATGCGTTAAATGCGCAAAATTTGGAAGATACATTGGAGTTGGACGGGAAACCGACCGACATTGATGAAAAGGTTTAGAATAAAATGAATAGAACGGTGTGTGGTGTGATTAGGTCTTACCTTACCCAAGACCTTAAATATGATGTGATGAATGAAACTTCGGCAAAGAAGATTTGGGAGGTCCTAGAGGGCAAATATTTGACGAAGAGCATCGAAAATCGTTTGCATTTGAAGAGGAGGCTTTATCTCTTCCAATTGAAGAAGGGGGCATCCATTAGTGATCACATGAACCACTACACGAAGCTACTTGCAGATTTGGCGAATGTAGATGTCAAGGTTGAAGACGAGGACAAGGCATTGTTGTTATTGAGTTCCTTGCCCGACGAGGAATATGAGACCTTCGTCCTCACTCTTATTAATGGAAAGGCATCACTTTCGTATAGTGAGGTCACCGCAGCCCTTGTGAATTATCAACTTCGAAAGAAGGACAAGGAGACTTCCATCGAGCCGGTTGCTGGTGCATTGGTTGCAAGAGCTAGAAGTCCAAACCGTGGAAGAAGGTCGCAGTCTAGAGTGGGGCATCCTACAGTTGGTAGGAATCAGTGTGCCTTTTGTAGAGAGGATGGACATTGGAAAACCGAATGCCCAAATTTGCAAGCTGTGAAGAATAAAGGGAAAGCTATTCAAGCTTCAGAGGTGAATATTGCCAAGGCTAGTGGCGATATTTCAGATTCAGATTCTTCGGGCTATTGTGCCCAGCTCTTCCGTCAGTTGATGTTGCCGACTCCACCGAGTGGATGTTGGATTCTGGTGCTACTTACCACATATGCCCTAGAAGGGATTGGTTCTCCAGCTTTCAGGAGTTGGAAAGAGGGGATGCTGTTCTCATGGGTAATGATCACAGATGGCCTATTGGTGGTATTGGTACCGTTCGGATTCGGATGAGTGGCGGGATGATCCGGGAGTTGGCTGATGTGAGGTTCGTTCCTCAACTGAGGAAGAACATCATTTCACTTGGGGTATTGGAGGCATCAGGCTATAGGGTGATCTTGGCGGATTCTCGCTTGAAGGTCACATCGGGGTCCATAATTGTGATGAAGGGAGTCAGGCGGAGTAACTTGTATTATCTACTTGGGAGCACGGTAGTTGATAGGGCGCTGACTACTTCTATGGCTAGACTGTGGCATTGTTTGGTGCTGGGATATATTGTTGGTTATACCGTGCACAGATTGTTGAGGAGTGCTATGACCTGCAGATTGAAGTCCTGTGAGCACATTGGTATGAGCAAGAAGACCGAGGTGGAGTTCAGCACTTCTATCCATCGATCGAGAGGTCTTATTGGAGGTGTTCAGTCAGGCATTTGGGGGCTTTCCGAGGAGGCATCATCGGGAGGTAATCGTTATTTTGTTTCCTATGTTGGGGATTGTACTAGGCATATTTGGGTTGCAACCAAGTCCCGTTGGTATAAAGACCTAGTAGTCCGCAACAGTTGGAGGAGGTGTATGGGCAGAAAGGTTACCAGTCGTACTTATTCTAGTAGGAGTCCTTTCTTGCATTGGTGCCGAGCTCACGGCAGTTGGAGACACTTCAGAGGGAAGGAGACAGTGGGGCGACGTGATGAGATGGCGGATTTAGTGGGCCGTTCTTTTCTGGAGGAGGATCGGTATTGGTTGTCGAGCAGTGGATCTGGTATTCAGGCTTCGACAGGTTTGGGTCATCTTATGTGGTTGCCGACTGCTGCGTGTAGAGTTGTTAGATCTGGTGGAGCTGCTTTAGATTTTGGTCGGCGTCGGATATTTGGCTACCCAGCACTTGGTCACATCGTTGATGTGAGGTTGGATCCGATTGCGCAGTTGGGATTCAGGAGTTCATTTGGCTATCAGTTGGGAGCTTCTGAGTTTGGTCTGAGCAGGTTTGTCACTTTGGACTCTCGGCAGGTGGAGAGTATTGATCAGGTCAGAGGGATATCGCAGCGGGTGGAGGTTGATGCTACTCCACATTGGGTGGGGACTTTCCCACATACTCCAGGTCATTCTGCATTGGTTGGGATTCCAGCTGAGGTGGCACAGCGTGGGAGTCATTTATTTATGGGTGCAGATGATGAGGTAGTTGATTTGGATGCAGCTGATGGATATGTTTTGGATACGGCCATTGTTACATCTCAGGTGGAGGTGTTTGGATCGCTTCAGTTTGAGGTCGTTGATGATGCTATCAGCCGCAGGTTGGATTGAGGGCCTTTGGAGGCCCATATGGTGAACTACGTGAAGGCTTGATTCCTTGGGCAAGAGGATACGTAGGCAGTCTTTATGATGCAGCCGATTTGGTGAGCGACATCGACATTTGGGGAGAGTGTTCGCACTCCCATTTGGGTCTCAGCAAGTGAGGCATTTGGTGTAGTCGGGGGTATAGATAAAGTAAAAAAGTACATATTTGCCTTCCTGCTGTGAAGCTGAAATAAAAGAGGGTGCTAAATATTTAATTGGTGGGGACAAAAGCTGAGGTGGAGAGCAATATTTGCCCTCCTGCTGCTGATGGTCTAAGCAATGCTTAATATTGGCTTCCCAAAGTGCAAGAAAAACGTAAATGATTGGTAATCTCAGCCTAGGACCTCCCTAAGAATCATACGTTTAGTGTTCAACAAATATGTCTATCAATATGTTAGTTTAAGTGAAAACTATGTAGAATTGGCAGAAAGTTCGGGTTTCAACAGAATTGGGTGGCGGTCGACCGGCCCGGTCGACCGCATTCGTGCACAGGAGTTATTGGGCTTCAGGATTGGTGGCGGTCGACCGATCCGGTCGACCGAATCTATGGGCGGTCGACCGTGTCGGTCGACCGACGACCTCTCTGGACATTGGGTTTGCTGCTGGATGGAGGGCGGTCGACCGGTCCGGTCGACCGCGATGGATCGCGGTCGACCGTACCGGTCGACCGCCGAAGCGGGCTCTTGATTTCTAATAGTGAAAACTCCCCCTCCTTGCCCCGGGGACGTAGGCATCTTGCCGAACCACGTAAAACTGGTGTTTGGTTGTTTGTGCTGTTGATTTTGGTTGGTTGTTTATCTTTCTTGGCGATTGTTTTGGTTTCTCGAGGCACAACAAACTACAAAAAGCGCTTCCGCTGCATCCATATTAAATTCCTCTCGATTACTGAAAGTGTCTGTCAGACTGCAAAAGTGTCTAAGTTAAGAGATTTCCTATTGGGAATGACCTACATTTCCCAAGCAAAAAAAGCCAACCAAGAAGAACCACATTTCTCAGGATCTATAAACAAGCAACCAGTATTATAAAGCTAGCTAGATAAAGAAAAAGCAAACTATCTAGTCCCGTCTATTTAATATCTCAGCCATCGACAGCAATGCAGCACTAAGCAGGTTATCAACCAGCACTCAGAAAGTTAACGGGTCTCACCAGCCACAATTAGGCCGGCAACTTGGACCAACACTCAACCCCAACCTGAAATAGTTGGTCTTCGATTGGCCTTAGTAGGATCAAGTCACGGAGGGATGACCACCCATTTAACAAACAGATGCATTCCAAGTCTAATGCTGTGAACCTTTCGACCTGAATTAACACAATTCTAGGCCAATATTTTGTTATGACTTGTTTGTATACAGTATACACAAGTCATTTTTGTCAACATGGTTAGTGAATGTTGGTGCATGAGATGTGGCACTGAATGCAGTTTTTTCTCTACGTAAAACTTTACCTTTGTAGATAAATTCATCAATTTTTATCTGAAACAAAGCTGACTGAAATACAAACAAAAAAAAAGTTGGCTGCACATGGGGAATGGCTAGTGTGGGACTCTCTTGAGCTGCTTGATCAAGTTAACTTCTAAAAAAGAATTATTACTTTGTGATCCACATAAAAGCTGGCTTTGTCAGTTTGGAGCAGCACTGTAGAATAGACCAATTATATGCAGGTCAATTTCAGTTACCTATATTTGGGCCGGTTGTCTTCAGGTAGAATTACCCAACCCATATAAAAAACAGATCTAATGCAATTCACACATATAGCAGTCTGTTCAGAATTTTAACCAACCAAGCTCGACTAGTTGCCATCCTCAGCATCATAATACAGGAAAATGAACAACATAGGATCACAGATTGAGCATGCTTTCAACATCGTCCACATTTAGACCTTCGAAAGAAATAGGCGAAGTAAATACATGATAGTACCTCATTTGCATCCTTGCAAACTCCAGTACCAGTTTTTGTTGGCCAAGTGACCCTCCAGCATCTGTTTGGGTTTTAAATAAATGCAGAAGTTCATTAGTTTAGCAAATAAGGATTGAGGAGCACGTCTCAGAGACAATCACACGAGATGAATAAATTAAGTAGCGGACCTTTCTTTACCAAGGCGTCTTGCTAGTTCTTCCGCTAAAGCTTGTCCAGGGGCATCAGCATCCGTTGCTAGAATTATACGAGATGCCTGACAGTATCCAATGTATCAGTGATTCAGCTAATAACTAAACAAAATATCATCAGGTGCAGCGAGAACGTACAATTTGTGACACTAATTTGATCGCGGATGAGTACCTTGTTTAGATACTCTTTGCAGTTCCATAAATACTGAAACTTTGTGTCCTAGCTTTACAGAGTATTTCAGGAAATGTTAGCAACTTAGCAATTAACACAAGGCTTAATAGCAAAACAAAATTGTAAAATAATAAGATATCCAAGCTGAGGAAAAGAGAAGAAAATGCCAAAATAGAATAATTAAATTTTCAGAAAAAAAAATAAGATATCCAAGCTGAGGAAAAGAGAAGAAAATGCCAAAATAGAATAATTAAATTTTCAGAAAAAAGATTACGAGCATGAACAGTCAGAACTCAGGTTTCAACGCACCAACAAGATAATTAAAAAGGGTGGAGTAACATCAACAGACCCATACTGATGCTCATTTTCACCATTACCACCACACAATCTGAAAGTGATCTCAAATTGTACTGTTGATTTATCAGTGCGAGCTTATGTCAACTTGTAACAAACATATATAGAAATTCCAGTCTAGAGCTCTGGTCTAATTTGATACCATTAGCCATTAGGAAAAGAAGATTGCATGACTGGAACCCCTTCCTTCTATCAAATTATCCTTTCAGATTGCAGTCTCTGTCAGTATGAGGCTGCCCCCAGGCTGCAACTTCATATACAGTCATGATATTTTTATGATGGGTTTCTAAACTAGAAGTTTGTGGAACCATTGGAGCAGGTTGCCGATATCTTTAAAACCCCTACATAATGAAGGCAGGGAAGTCAAAAGTACAAGAAAGTTAAAGAGGGTGGGACAAAAAACTAAAGTGCCCTTTGTAGAGGATTTTTAGAAGGGAAGGTAGAGCGAGGTGAGGTGAGGTAAAGTAGGGGACAACTTAAAATCAACTAGAAATGAAGAGGGAGAAGAATCCTTCCAAGGTGAGGTGAGGTAAAGTAGGGGACAACTTAAAATCAACTAGAAATGAAGAGGGAGAAGAATCCTTCCAAATTGGAGGGATTCAAGAAGAGAGAGAGAATAAAATCAACTAGAAATGAAGAGGGAGAAGAATCCTTCCAAATTGGAGGGATTCAAGAAGAGAGAGAGAGAGAGAGAGAGAATGAACTACAAAGTGATGTGTGTTCTCTCTCCTCCCCTCCTACAAACAAGAAGCACAAGATGTATATACTTCCTTGCACCTCCCCTCACCTCACCTTCCCTCTTCATACCCCCAACCAAACCATGCCTAAATGAGAGAATGAGATGCTTTGGCCATGTACATCAGAGGCTACTAAATACACCAATTAGAGGAGGTGATAAGATTATAATTAATGGAACAAGCGTGAAACTAAAAAGCAATAACTGTCCGTAGATGCAATTGTGCTGTCAGATACTGCCGGTATTGATATATACAAGTTCTCCCACACTATTGTTAAAAAAAAAGAATAATAACCTGATTGTGCCAGCGACGTTGCACGACACCATTTCTTCCAAGTGTTTCAGCTGATATCATTCTCTCCTTTAAGAAAATTAAGATAGAAAGAATCAATAACAGAGTAATGAACTCTATGAACTAGTAGTAACACAAGGACTGTAGTCTGATTCTCTCCCTGCCAGCTCATTATGCAATAGGAGGGGGACGCCTCATCCGTCCCCTCCCTTGGTCCCATATATTAGCTCCTTAAGGTATCTTTCTTGTTATTGAGGTCTTGAAATTTTCCTGGGGTTCGTAAATTTTTGGATTATTCTAGCATGTTTTTCAGGGATTGTTTATGATTTTCGGATTCCCTGGTGGGGTGTTTACATTATTCAGGGATTACTTATAATTTTCAAATTTTTAGGAGGATCTTTGTATTTATTGATTTTGAAGGTCTATTTTTGGAATTTTCCATTAGCCAAAAAAGTAAGGAAAAAAAAAAATCATAGTTATCAAATGTGAGGAATTTAGCAAAAAATCTAGATCTTGGGAAATCGGGATATTTGAGGGGTACATATGTTAAAAAAATTTGTGATGTTCTAAAAAACAATAACAAGTAATTACCCCGTCCTACTATCTAATTAACTAGAGTCTCAACATCATGCGGTCCTTGCTTCTCAACTAGAGAGCCAAAGGAACCGGTAGAGCTCAACATCATGCGGTCCTTGCTTGGATCTCCACCCGATCTCTGTAGAGTTTGAGTAGCACATGGGGTGGATGCGAGAAGAAGACACTGAAACTGAGTTTGTTTTTGTTTCTTAATTAAGGAATTAGAGTTCGTTTAGGGATTAGAAGAGTTTGGAGATAACAAATTTAAAGAAGAGTAAAAGAATTATCCATCGTCGGTCGGTTACGTCGCTGGTCGATGATGCGTTGTTATAATTTAACTAAGTCGGTTGTTGAACTAATTAAAGGGTATAAATTAAACGGTACTACTGTTAGGGTTTTAAAATAGCTAATCGATCTGGGGTTTTGGAGAAAAAAAAAACAAGCTACGTTCATCATCATCATCATCTCTCTCCCTCTCTTCCATGGCAACCGGCAAGCTGATTCAAGTCGACCCGCCCGAACTCAGGTTCCCGTGTAAGTAGCAGTTCCCTTTCTCAACATTATAATACTGTTAGGATTTTACTGCGAATTAAGCTGATCTCTTCTTCTAATTAGCTCATAATTCATCTAATTTCATTGCTTTGTTTTGTTTTTTTCCCCCGGCCAATTAATCAGTCGAATCAAGAAGGCGCATCCCGTGTTACATCATGTTAACCAACAAAACCGATGACCACGTCGCCTTTAGTGTAACTCTCGATCGTTGGGGTTTTTTCTTTTCAGTTGGATTAAGAAAAGACATAAAATAATTCGAAATTGATGTCTTTTTTTTGTTTTCCCCTTTTCTGGTTTGATTTAGCTTCGTTCGGATGCCGTAGAGAAGTATATCACTCAGCCCAACAGAGAGATCATCTTGCCCCGATCCACATGCAAAGTCGAAGGTAATTTTTGTAATGTTTATGAATATATAATACACGTATTTGGTGCAGTTGGATTATTTTACTTATTTATTTGGTTATTAGTAATAATGCTACCGCGGTGGAAAGCACCACATCGTCAAGAGGACATTGAAGTTCATAGCGTCGTCACCTTCGCAGGAGCCGGTGTTGATGACATTAAATGCAAATGGGTAATTTAATCAAATTTCATGTACCTTTAAGTTTGTTTTAATTTGGATTTACGAGGCATTTTCACTTGCACATGGCAACGACGTCTGTTTCTTCGTTTGTTTTCAACTACTATAATGCTCGTAATTTGCACGTTAACATACCTTCTTTAAAAAAACTCTTTTCCTTCCGAGTCCTAAACTATGATTGTACTAATATAAAATTCTTATATAAATAAACTGTGTTGTGTACAGATAATATTGTATGAGTAATTTCTATATTTTGAGCATTTATTGTAATTTAGTATTAATTTATTTAGATGATTAAAACAAATTAAATAATGCTTTAATATTATAATTATATAATTATAATTTTTTTAACTATAACATAGAATAATGATAACAAATTATATGTTATTTACAACTATTCTTATTTCTAGTAATATATGTATAGTATAGTTATAATACTGTTATTCAATATGATGTATTAAATAATAGTGCAATTCGTCGTTGGGTTATAATAATAAAATAATTATTTTTATTTTACTATTAAACATTTACGTAATTTTACTATATTATTATTATTCAATAACATACTTTTGAAGAATGTTTAATACCGCATTATTTTGTTTATAATAGTATTTATAAATTATAATAAATAGGCATCTAACAATTTAATAATATATTATTTAATAAATTGTTTATAGTTATTTTACAAAATGTTTTATTACACTGATTAATTTATACTATTTTACTATGATTAACAATTATTTTTGTAAATTATAATATATTTTATAATTTTTCTTATCATTATAAAGTATTTATATTAATTACATTTTAGTGAATGCCTAAATATGTGGGAAAGTGAGGAGGTCCATAATTAATAAGATGTTTTGGATAATTAGTTAAAGTTTAATTGCAATTAATAGTATAATTCCAAGCTATCAAATTTTTAGAGGGCAAAAAAGGAAATCAAAAATTTAACATGTGAATATTCTCTTTTATAAGTAGTATAGATATAAATTTAGAGATTGCACCGGTGTGTGCATTTGGTTTTAGATTTTTTTTGTCGAAGAGGACTTTTTAGCTTATTTGGTTATTTTGGATTGGGTTCATGAATTAGACAGTCTTGGTTATTATATTATCTAAAGTTGGGTTTAACGGAAAACTTGGTTTCGTGCGGTTTGCTAATGTGATTATGTCATGCCCCCTTAATTAGTTCTCAACCGTAAATTAAAACTTCAGTCTTGAAGACAAAAGATCGCGCGGACCGGGTGAAGAGCTTTTTAACTTCTTTTCTTTCAACAATATTGCTTTCTTTCTTTCTTTCTTTCTTTTGGATAATTCAGGTCATGTTCTAAGTGTTTGACATACATAATGTTCATACTTGGGTTGGAGGGGGGTGGGGGGGATTGACTAGTGATGCCTGAAAAAATTCTATTGTGTTTGAAGTTAATTAGAACGACATGCACTATAAACTGCAAGAACTCGTAAAAGGAACTAATTAAGGAGGTTATATATGTGGCCTTTCTTCAAGCCATAGTATTTCGGAAACGTTCATGAAAATAAATTTGTTTAGTTTGTTAAAGAGGCTTGCGATCAGCTTTAAAATTTTATTGAGTTCAGAGTTCAAGGGTCTGACGCATGCATTTGGGTTTCCTACAGTTCACTAAGAAGGCAGATAATAAGCTAGACATCGTCACACTGCAAGTTGTTTGCGTCTTCCCAACATCTATTCATCGACGACTTGATCTCAAAACAACCACCGGCAAGCTAATTGAGGTTAAACCAACAAAAATCCGATTCCCATGTAAGTACATTTCCTTCCATAACCACCGGCAAGCTAATTGAGGTTAAACCAACAAAAATCCGATTCCCATGTAAGTACATTTCCTTCCATCAGATTTTTCGATACTCTTTCTAATCTCGCAACAAAAATCCGATTCCCATGTAAGTACATTTCCTTCCATCAGATTTTTCGATACTCTTTCTAATCTCAATCAATGTTGGGGGTCTTATTTGTTAGTTATATTCCCAATGTACTCGTTTAATTTCTCGTAGTTTTGGTTTGATCAGTTGAATTAAGGAAGCAGATAACGTGCTCTATCTTTATATCCAACAAAACTGATGACCACATTGCCTTTACGGTAATTCTAATTGATTTTTTTTTTTTTTTTGATAGATTAAGAAAACACATAAAATTAACCGATGTTTTCTTTGTTTTTGTTTTTTTCCTTGTATGTTTTAGTTGACGTCCACGAATTGTTGCGACTACAGCGTTCGACCTTCCAAGGGAATCCTCTTACCACGATCCACGTGCGAACTCATTTGTGGGTTTTGTAAATTTTACAAATTTTCTACCTGTTTGCTCTCCTTTTGCTATAGTTCTAATTACTTCAGTTTTTTTTTTTAATTATAGTTCTAACGGAAGAGCAAAGGAAAGCACCACGTAACATGAGATGCGATGTCTCTTTTTGTGTTAATGCCGTCGTCACCTTTGCAGGAGCCACTGTGAAGGACGTTGCTCATTATAAAATGGTAATTCAATATTTTAAAAAAATTAGCTATATGTTTATTTTGATTATTGGTCTATGTGGTATGATCTTGGAGAATCGACATAATTACACGCGCAATGCATGACATTGGCTGTGTTTGTTTATTTTGAATTTAGAGGTTGTCTCAATAAGACGTTTAAGCTCATTCGTATTTTGAATTGGAATTGTGAAATAAACTGTCCAGGTTATTAACTAAAACAAGGTTTGATTTAAAATTTGGTTTCCCGTGGTTTACTAATTCCTATGAGATCATGCCATGCTCGTTTTCTGGACTTAACTGGGCATGAAATTATATTTTGTTTGCTTCTTTGAAGATGTTTATTTGTAGGTATCAAGAACGGGTAGCATTGTCTAAAATTGAATTTTGCATGTAGTTTACTACAAGTGACACATACAATGGAGGATAACAACTTAGGTGGTGTTTGGTTGTTTGCAACTGGAGTTGCAATGCAAGTGTCACTTGCATGCAACTGAGACGTTGCAACTCTTCTTACATACAACTACAATTGCAATTGTTTGGTTTAAAATTTAAATTTTACAACTTATAGTTGCAGTTGTTTGATTATGCTTATAACTTAACATATGCAACTCATAAAATATTTTTAAAAAATAATATTTTTTAAAAAATAATATATTTTTAAAAATAATATATTTAAAAAAAATAATATATTTTAAAAAAATAATATATTTTAAAAAATAATATATTTTAAAAATAATATATTTTTAAAAAATAATTTATTTTTAAAAAATATTTTATTTTTAAAAAAAATATAATATATCATTTAAAATATATATTATTTTAGAAATTATATTTATTTAAATAAGATTATCAAAAATATATTATTTTAAAAATATATTGTAAAAAAAATATATTATTTTAATATATATTTTTTTTAGAAAATTATTATTTATTAAATATATATTATTTAAAAATATATATTATTCAATAATATATTATTTAAAAAATATATATTTAAATATATTATTAAAATATATATTATTTTTAAAAAATATATTATTTTAAAAATATATATTATTTTAAAAAATATATTATTTTAGAAAATTATATTATTTTAAATATATATTATTCAAAAAATATATTATTCAAAAAATATATTATTTTAGAAAAATAATAGTATTCCTGGAAAATTTTATTTTTCAAAAAATATATTATTTTAGAAAAAATATATTATTCAAAAAATATATTATTTTTAAAAATATATTATTTTTAAAAAAATATTATTTTAAAAAATAATATATTATTTTAAAGATAATATATTACTTTAAAAACTAACATATTATTTTGAAGAAATTATTATAATAATAATTATTTTAAAAGATTAATGTTGTTTTTTAAAAAAAAAAGTTTTTGAAGAAATTATTATAATAAGAATTATTTAAAAGATTATTTTAAACTTTTAATGAATTTATTTTTGAATTATTAAGTAATGATTTTGATTTTAATAAATTTAGGTCAGTTGCAACTAAGTTGCAACTATGACTTGCGGCCATTTTTGACGTAAGTCATATGTTGCAACTAAGGGTTGTTTTGCAACTGTGGTTGCAACTGCAACTGTAAGTTGCAGTAAAACAAACACATGCAACTGGTCAAATTGGACCTAGTTGCATGCAACTGGAGTTGCAACCACTCCAGTTGCAGCCTACCAAACAGCCCCTTAGACATGAAGCTAAGGGAGGTCACTCTTAAATTAAATCCCTCTAACCATTGCATCAAAACTCTAAAGTTTTAGTGAGAATTGAGGATTATAGTTTTATATTAATTCTATCATGTAATTCCCCGAGGTTGATTGTCTTTTCTACGTGTTGAGAACCTGGGCTCATGCAACTGCAATCATTTTTTAAAATTCGGATTAAATTCATAGCCGTCAAGATTCACACATGGAATTATTTGACACCACTTTGTCAAGACCCTCTACCATCGAGCCAAAACTCTAAAGTTATAATGTGGGTTGAAGATTATAATTTAATATTAGTTCTAACAGTTAGTAAGTATTTAGGCCATAAAATTTGGGATCCGATCATGAAAAATATATTTGTTGAGTTCGTTAAAAGAGGCCCGTTAGCTTTTACTTAATCTGAAGTTTGAGCGTCTGATGCATGCAAGTGGTTTTTTCTTCAGTTTTTCAGAGAGTCAGGTAACACAGTGGACGAGGTGGAGCTGAAAGCTATTTATGTATCACCGCCTAAGACTCCACCGCCGGTTCCTGAGAGACGCGACAAGGGATCTTTGTATTGGGCTTCTGCTAAAGCAAATTTACGGAAATTTTACAATGTGAGCATTTAAGTTATTTTCGATCGGCTACAACAATTATTTTGTTGCTTCTTTAGCTCTCTTAATATTTCTCCAAGGAGATTTTGTCTTGACAGTACTGTAAGGGTCATCTTTAGTATCTAGTGTTTCATGGTGATCCTTTGTCAATAATTGTTTTATGGGGATTGTAGATCTCCTTTTTTTTAAGGGGCAAAAAAAAAGAAGAAGAAGGATTTACTTTCTTTACCGGAGATTGTAGCTTTATTTTATTTACTGTAGATTGTAGATTCCCTTTTTTACTTAATTGTCACTCTGTGGCTACCCATATCTTATATTTGAATATTACAAAATTTTAAATTTAGTGTAACAAGTAGTATGAAATAAATTAGTCATAATCTTTATAAAACACGTGGTATTTGTAATGTCCAGGTTCAGGGTATTGACATTGGAAACTTGTTATTTTCTTTGTGTGTATTTTTTGTGCAGTTCGTTTATGCACCTCATTGTTATTAAAAATCAAACTCTGCCTTTATGGGTGAATTTTTTGTGCATACTTACAATTATCTAATACTACATAAAATCATAAATGAGTTCCTTTCTTATTGTCCAGTTAATGACTTAAATTTCAGGGCTTAGCGAGGAGGAGAATGTGGAAATCCTACACGAAAATAAACTCCGACAGTGACTTGTGAGTAGAACAAACTCATATCCTTCATCTTATCAGTTTTGAGTTTGTTACCTTTTGTTCTTAACATTTTTTATCATAATTTTGATCTTTTTTTCTTTCAAGATTGTACTATTACAAAGAAATTGAGAGACAAAAGTTTAGTGCTTCCTCTTATATATATAGTTCTATATTAGTGGATTTTTTTTATATTATGCACCGTGGATCTACGCCGAAGTTGGTAAATTGAACCAATATAAACCGTCGTGTATTTTTATTTATTGTGGGTATTTCTATATTATGGAATGTGGTTGGTTTTTAGGTTGCAGATGATATTAGGGGGTTGGGGAGACAACACCCCTAACATGCCCTTCCTCTGGAGTAGAAAGAAAATTGACATAATATAAAAATTATAAGTAATTAAATAACCTAATTCTAGTATTACGTAAGGGGTGTTCCTTTACTATTTTTCTCCAATATCTGACTTGTGTCTTTAATGAGCAGGGATCATCCCTTGTTTTTCTGTAAAAAAAAAATATCTGACTTGTGTCTTTATCATGCCTCTACCCAGGATGAGAGAGCCGTTGTCGGTTTCTTCTTCTACTCAAACTGAAAGCTAAATGCGTCATACAATTCAAATACGTATACTGCAGAAGATTGCTAATTATTTGGATTGCATCGCACAAGGTTGTTATGTTTCCAAACCACGTGAAATCATGAATGGGATGTGGTTAAATTTTTCAGAGTGCTGGGTTTTGGTTCACGTTCTTTTGCTTTTTTAACAAACTCAGATGGAATTATTAATTATTACAAAGAATTAGCAACTGAGCTGTTACCTTATAAGAAAACAGTAGCGTGCTCCCACGTGTTAATCAATACTCTGTTTCAGTAATATTGTATGATGCAAGGATGAAAGGAGGAACCAGAACATGAACAAAAATTGGAGCGTCCGACGGTTAAAGCACAACGACTTAAATAATCTTTTTTTTTTTTTTGCAATGACATAAATCTTTTACCAATTCAGCTAACACATCCATTTTAAGTGCGGAAAATGAAAATCATAATACCTATATCTATTTGTTTCCACCATACAATTACGGATCTGCCTTTAAACCAACTCTCTTAGGCGGGGAGGGGGCCGGAGCCGGAGCGGGAGGGCGGCAGCATTATCGCCGCCCTTGGACAGCTTAATCTCGACCAACACGCATGATTACGATTAACGCACATTGCTGCTATTCCCGCCAAAACAGTCATGAAGCTCATTAAGCCCTTGGGGACTTCGACAAGCTCCAAGGCAACTAAAAGCGCAACTGAGAGAATACAGACAACCCCAGCAGCTAGGACAATTTTCAGGTCAGGTACTCTGGTACCTGTCCAATTAGCCGCCAGAATGGCAGTTGAAAAAACGAAAAAAGAAAACAGCAGTATCCTCATGCTTTTCAGCCTCTGTTTCAAGAAAATGCTATTAGCAAAAAATGTAATGGTAAACCTAATATGAAAGGAAAACAAATTAAAAAGAAAAACAACCTTTTCGTGGCTTGGCGTCGCGCGGCCGTGTCGCCGTTGTTACCGGTCGTCGCCGTTGTCGCTGCGGCCGTTGTCGCGTTGTCGCCGCGGCCGTTGTCGCCGTTGTTGACGTTGTCGCCGTTGCCACCACCACCAGCAGGCTTCCAACATTGCAAGCATCCCTTCACAGTATCAAACTAACGTTATATACATATATAAATTAAGAGTAAACTTGAAGAGGTTGAAGAACACAACCTGTGCGCCGCCCCTGCCCGCGGGAGGAGGAGGAGGAGGGTTGCCACCACCAGCAGCAGGTTTCCACCATTGCAAGCATCCCTTAACAGCATCAAACTAAGATTATATACACATATAAACTAAGAGTAAACTTGAAGAGGTTGAAGAACACAACCTGTGCGCCGCCCCTTCCCGCGGGAGGAGGAGGAGGAGGAGGAGGAGGAGGGTTGCCACCACCACCAGCAGGCTTCCAACATAATTCCAAGCATCCCTTCACAGTATCAAACTAACATTATATACATATATATATAAACTAAGAGTAAACTTAAAAGAGGTTGAAGAACACAACCTGTGCGTTCAGGCTATGCAAACATGGGCGGGGATGGGACTGTTGTGGTGGATGTGGGACAGGAGCTGGACGTGACGGGCTTGAGGCGTTTGAGGGGACAGGAGCTGAGGCCATGTCTTGTTTTCTTTTGGATGGGACGGGACGGGATGGCTTCGTGCCATTTTATAATACACCGGCGCCTACCGTCAAAGGCTGAGCGGTGTAACCGTCTAAAGGCTGAGCGATCGGGCTGAGCGGAGAACGAGTACAGTGAACAGAGCTCTTTAGCAGAGCCGCGGGCAGAGAAGCAGTTGGATATATAAAATGACAAAACACTATTTATTTTGAATTATTAATTGGTTTACCATGTTGTTATAAGATCTTGCCCAGTTTGTCTGTTCTCTTTATTCTCATGGTACTGTAATCATCTATTGTTTAAGTTTTTTTTTTTTTTTTTGATTGTAGGGGATATATAGTTTTGAGAGTTTCACTACGATATGATATATCAAAGTTCAGCTCTTGGAGACCAACTGGAGTTCCCAATTGTATAATAAAATCAATAAATTGTACATGATCACTTAATTTGCCTACTTTAAATTAGGACCTAAAGTCTCCAATGCCTTCATTACGAATTTTTATCTTCTTTCCTACAAATAAGCAACGAGAGCCATATCGTCTTATATATAACAGTCGACGGAGCCTCTCAAAGGCTGGCCGCAGCCTCAGACTGTTCGAGGCAGAGCTGACAGTCCACAGAGCGCCAGAATGCTTTAGTAGGTGTATACGGAAGCAAAATCATCTTTATTTTGAATTGTACATAAAATATTAAACTTTTGGCCGAGATTTCATCTAATAATAAATTGCTGTCTTATATTTATAACGCAGGAACAATAAAAAAAAAACGTGTTAGGCTTTATTTGACACTTACTTTCAATTGGGGGATGATGTAGGGGTTTAGTGAACTCTACATTAGTCATCTCATCGAAAAATGTCTCTCCAACTATCTATTTTTAAAATTTTAAACAAGCAACTTTGAAATTTCTCAAAAAAAAAAAAATTATCATTGGAAAATAAAACATTTTCATATCCATACTAAATTATACAGTAAGTACAAATTTGAATCCTCCCTGTTGTAAAATATAATGAGGAATGGTGATTCATTGTTGTGACAACCGCTAATTGTCTATTTAATAATTGTGATTAATCTTGAGTTAAAATTAAGAATAAAAATAAGTGCAGATCACATGGAATATACTCAAAATGAATTATAATCGTCAAATAAACAATAGACGGTCGTAATTTAAAACGCGGACTCTTCATTGTTTTTCATTGATAAATTTTTATAAAATTGTAGACGTACGTGGCTTACCATTTCACCATTATAATCGTCAAATTAAGCTTAGCTTCTTTCTTAGCATCAATTAATTGATGTTATGGAGGAACCGCGTGTTGGGAATTTAACGCCTAAACCCCTAATGCAACGGAAACGCGGTATAGAAAAAGTACACCAAGATTTAACGAGGTTCGGCAACTGCCTACGTCCTCGGGAGCCACACAGATAATTTTCTTATTAATCAAATAAGAAATTACAATTTAGGAGCGTATCTCAAAACTGAGATTTCTCAGATAAACACTGTAGCTACAGTGTTAATAATCAAAGGGTATGAACCCTTTCAATTCTCAACTGAGAACAAATACCCCACAATTAAAAACCCCTAATTAATTCCCTCTCTCTCTTCTTAAATCCCCTCAACCTGCACTGTTGAACGCTGGGATAAATCACAAATCGCAGCACCGATTTAGGGCAGCCGCCAGAAAGAAAAATCGGAGGTGAAGGGGGGAGATCAGCACTTCAAAACCCTAAGCTAGGGTTTTCTTTTATAGGCGGATGAGGAGGAGGAGCTGGCGACAGCCTGTCGCCAGCGTTCGCTTCGACGCCAAACTCGAGCGAACGCAGAGGTCGCTTCGACGCCAGCTTCGCACGAACGCAGAGTTCGGACCCGCTGTGACGCAGAGTTCGCCATCGCTCGAACGCAGAGCTGGGGGCTTCGAGCTTCGTCCTGTCGCCTGCGTCTGGTCGTCGACAACCTCGCCTGGGCTTCGAGCTTCGTCGGCTGGACTACCGGAGCTCGCCTGCGACCATCGAACTCGTCGGAGCTCGTCGGAGCTCCTCTTCGCCGGCGGAGGTTTGTTTCCACCCCTAATTCTAACACCGCGGCCTTAGGTCCTGCAAATGTATTGCAAGAGAATTATATATATACGAGGATCAATTGTTTGTTTGCTCGTAATGTAGCTAGGAGGAGGTCGACTGATGTGAGAAACCACGGAGGTTAACGGCCTTTATATATATAAGATGAGAGATTTTGCATGCGTGCAGAACTTGGAGTATACTTACATTTTGATCACGTAATCAGTTTGCTTGCACACGCTGAGGATTATGTAATTTGCATTACGTGAACAAATAGGATACCATATATAACGTACAAATGCTCAGGGATTGAATTAGGAGTGAGATTTGTTGGATTTAATCTAATAAATCTATTTGTGGGCACATATGATTAATCATTGTGTATTGCTATCTTTCAGGATAACCCACTGAATTGATCAATTAAGTTGGGTTAATTTGGTATTTAAATGATCATGGGGTCATATGTGCAGATACCAGGTTGTAATTGTAATTTATTGAGGGGCTAAATTACAAAAGTACAACATCTATAAATAAGGGGTTATGGTCCCTAACCTAGGGTTACATTCTCTAATTCTCTTCACCCCCATCTAAGAGAGAAATTCGGCTAAAGAGAAAACCCTAAGGTTAGAAGATCCAAAACCCAAAATCAAGATCAAGCAATGGATTCAGGTATAAGCTTCCGCTCTCTTTTGATTTTGTTAATCTCTTTGAATTAATCATGGCTATATGGTTTTAGATCTCAAGTTTTATGATGTAGATCTAACAAGTGGTATCAGAGCCACCTTGACTAATTCTTAGGGATTTAAGTTTTATTGGGTTTTTGATCTTAAATCTCTGGTTAAAGATTCAATTTTTGGGTTCGGATGAACAGTAATGTTCTCGGATGAACAGTAATCGCCGGTGAACAGTAACTTTTGGGAATTTTTTTGGATTTTTCTTTGATTTTTCCTTCAATTTTTTCCAATTCTGGATCTGTTTTGAAAATAAAAATCAAAGGTTTTTTGGGTTTGTCGGCGGCGGTTTCAATTTGAAACCCTAAGGGTTCATGGCGAAAATTAAGGAGGTGGTTACCTCAAACGAACCTCGCGTTCGTTCAATTTTAACCGAGCTTCGCGCTCAACGAACCTCGCGTTCGTTCTAAGGTGAACCTCGCGTTCAACTCAGGTGAGCGTCAAGCTCAATTTTAACGAACCTCGCGTTCGTTCTAAGGTGAACCTCGCGTTCAACTCAGGTGAGCGTCAAGCTCAATTTTAACGAACCTCGCGTTCGTTCTAAGGTGAACCTCGCGTTCAACTCAGGTGAGCGTCAAGCTCAATTTTAACGAACCTCGCGTTCGTTCTAAGGTGAACCTCGCGTTCAACTCAGGTGAGCGTCAAGCTCAATTTTAACGAACCTCGCGTTCGTTCTAAGGTGAACCTCGCGTTCAACTCAGGTGAGCGTCAAGCTCAATTTTAACGAACCTCGCGTTCGTTCTAAGGTGAACCTCGCGTTCAACTCAGGTGAGCGTCAAGCTCAATTTTAACGAACCTCGCGTTCGTTCTAAGGTGAACCTCGCGTTCAACTCAGGTGAGCGTCAAGCTCAATTTTAACGAACCTCGCGTTCGTTCTAAGGTGAACCTCGCGTTCAACTCAGGTGAGCGTCAAGCTCAATTTTAACGAACCTCGCGTTCGTTCTAAGGTGAACCTCGCGTTCAACTCAGGTGAGCGTCAAGCTCAATTTTAACGAACCTCGCGTTCGTTCTAAGGTGAACATCGCGTTCATTGATTTCAATGAAGTATAAGGGCAAAGGAAATATCAGGGAGTACATTATGGAAATGTCTCATATTGCTTCAAAGCTTAAGGCACTTAAACTCGATCTTTGTGACGAGTTATTAGTGCATCTGGTTTTGTTGTCTCTTCCTGCACAGTTTAACCAATTTAAGGTCAGTTATAACTGTCAAAAGGAGAAATGGACTCTAAATGAGCTCATTTCATACTGTGTGCAAGAAGAAGACAGGTTGAAGCAAGATAAGACAGAAAGTGCTCATTTGGCCTATGCCTCTAAGGATAAGGGCAAGAAAAGGAAGAATGATAAGGAAGCTGCTAAGGGTCCAGTTGAGAAGAAACAACATAAGGATAATCAGGGTTGTTTCTTCTGTAAGAAGCCTGGACATGTAAAGAAGGACTGTACAAAATATCACGCCTGGCGTGATAATAAGGGTACGTTCCTTGCTTTGGTCTGTTCTGAGGTTAATTTAGCTTCAGTACCTAGAAACACTTGGTGGTTAGACTCTGGTGCTACTACTCACATAAGTGTTTCTATGCAGGGTTGCCTGAGCTACCGAAAGCCAAGTGATGTTGAAAGACACATCTTTGTGGGCGACGGACAATCGGTAGATGTGGAAGCAATTGGGCACTTTAGGTTGTTGTTAGGAACTGGTTATTATTTGGATTTAAAAGATACTTTTGTAGTACCGTCTTTTAGACGGAATTTGGTTTCTGTTTCTGTATTGGACAAATCAGGTTATTCTTGTTCATTTGGAAACAGTCAATTCAGTTTATCTTTTAATTCAAATGTTGTGGGAACCGGTTACTTGAGTATTTATGACAACCTATATTTGCTTGATACAATTGCTTCTTACAATGAATCCTTGCATGTGGAATCACGTGGTACTAAGCGTAAATTAAATAAGGAAAATTCGGCGACATTATGGCATAAGCGCTTAGGTCATATCTCAAAAGGTAGAGTTGAGCGTCTTGTGTCTGATGGCATTTTGGATTCCCTTGATTTTTCGGACTTCGACGTATGTGTTGAATGTATCAAGGGAAAACAGACCAAAGTGAAGAGATTAGGTGCCAACAGATCTTCGGATGTCTTAGAATTGATACATACGGATATTTGTGGGCCATTCCCTACGGAATCCTGGAATGGTCAACAATATTTTATATCATTCATAGACGATTACTCACGTTATGGGCACCTATATCTTATTCATGAAAAATCTGAGTCTCTGGACATGTTCAAAGCCTATAAAGCTGAAGTTGAGAATCAACTCAACAGAAGAATTAAAACCGTCAGATCTGATCGTGGTGGTGAGTACTACGGTAGATATGATGGTTCAGGTGAACAACGTCCAGGACCATTTGCTAGATACCTAGAGGAATGCGGTATCGTCCCACAGTACACTATGCCGGGTTCACCTAGCATGAATGGTGTAGCTGAAAGACGAAACAGGACTCTTAAGGATATGGTAAGAAGTATGATTGCTCATTCTTCTTTACCAGAGTCACTCTGGGGAGAAGCACTTAAGACAGCAGCTTACATTCTGAATAGAGTACCAAGTAAAGCAGTTGCTAAAACACCTTATGAGCTTTGGACTGGTCGAAAGCCCAGTTTAAAGCATTTACATATTTGGGGATGTCCAGCTGAGGCAAGGCCTTATAGGCCAAATGAAAAGAAATTGGACTCCAAAACAGTTAGCAGCTACTTTATTGGGTACCCTGATCGCTCTAGGGGCTATAAGTTTTATGATCCCACTATAAGGAATATTTTTGAGACGGGAACAGCAACATTCTTTGAGGATGTTGAGTTTGGGGGGAGAAATAAGGTTAGAGACATTAGTTTTGAGGAGGAATTGGCTTCAGATCCAATCCATACAGTTACTTTTGACAATATTCAGGTTCCTATACCTGTTGTTGCTCAAGAAGTAAATCCGGAACCTCAAGATGATAATGTTGAACAACTCCCTGTTCCAGAAGAACAAACTCAACAACCTCAAGAACCAGTGCCATTAAGGAGATCCACGAGAGAAAGGAGAAATGCTATTCCGGATGATTATATTGTATTTCTCCAAGAACATGAGGAAAGTAGTGGAATGTTAGAAGATGATCCAATCAACTTCTCTCAGGCCATGAAAAGTTCTAACTCTCAACAGTGGATTGATGCCATGAATGAAGAGTATAAGTCTATGCAAGACAATAAGGTTTGGGAACTTGTCCCATTGCCAGAAGGTGCAAAACCAATTGGTTGTAAATGGATTTTTAAAACCAAGCGGGATGCAAACGGTAATGTGGAGAGGTATAAGGCGCGTCTTGTGGCTAAAGGCTATACTCAAAAGGAAGGCATTGATTATACAGAGACTTTCTCTCCGGTTTCATCGAAAGACTCTTTCAGAATAATCATGGCACTTGTTGCTCATTATGATCTTGAGTTACATCAGATGGATGTTAAGACTGCATTTCTCAATGGAGACATTGATGAGATGATTTATATGGTGCAACCAGAAAACTTTGTGTCAGGAGACCCAAAGAATATGGTTTGCAAATTAAGGAAATCCATCTATGGACTCAAGCAAGCTCCTCGTCAATGGTATCATAAGTTTCAACAAATAGTTATCTCGTTCGGTTTTGAGATGAACATTGTTGATGACTGTGTATATCACAAGTTCAGTGGGAGTAAGTATATTTTTCTGGTTCTGTATGTGGATGACATCTTGCTTGCCACTAATGATATAGGCATGTTGCACGAAACCAAGAGATTTCTATCAAAGAATTTTGAGATGAAAGATCTTGGGGACGCCTCTTTTATATTAGGGATCCAGATACATCGAGATCGCTCTCGGGGTATTCTTGGATTATCACAAAAGAGCTATATCGATAAGGTACTTAAAAGGTTTGGCATGCAAGATTGCAGACCAGGTGACACCCCTGTTGCTAAAGGAGACAAGTTTAGTCTCAATCAGTGCCCTAAAGGTAACCTTGAAATTCAGGAAATGCAGAAGATTCCTTATGCTTCGGCTGTAGGAAGTCTAATGTATGCTCAGGTATGTACGCGTCCGGATATTGCGTACATTGTTGGGATGTTAGGCAGATACTTAAGCAACCCTGGTATGGATCATTGGATAGCAGTCAAAAGGGTTATGAGGTATCTTCAGAAAACAAAAGATTACATGCTCACATACAGAAAATCAGAGAAATTAGAGGTCATTGGGTATTCGGACTCTGATTTTGCTGGATGCCAAGATAGCAGGAAGTCTACATCAGGCTACATTTATATGTTAGCAGGAGGAGCTATATCATGGAAAAGTGTCAAACAAACACTAGTAGCTTCCTCCACTATGGCAGCAGAATTTGTAGCTTGCTATGAGGCATCCAATCAGGGAATATGGCTGCGAAATTTTGTCACGGGACTGCGCATTTTGGAAAATGTTGAAAGACCACTAAGGTTATATTGTGACAATAAATCTGCAGTAATGTATTCCAATAACAACAGGAGCTCAACTAAGTCAAAACATATTGACATTAAGTTCCTGGTTGTGAAAGAAAGGGTACAGAGTGGACAGATATCCATAGAGCACATTGGGACAAACTCCATGTTAGCTGATCCTCTTACTAAGGGATTGCCACCTAAGGTCTTTCATGAGCATACTGCTCATATGGGTGTGGTATTATTTGAGGATATTATGTTTTAGTGGGAGTTTGTATTTGTGGTGCTTTATGTTTGTTTGTATTGTCTGATCAGAATAAAGTTTTCAGTTAAGACACTCTGTTACATTATGTTTGGTTTTGACCTCACTAAGGAGGACCAGTTGAAAATAGACATGTACTGATCACATTGCATGTAATTTTCATGCTGCACATCCATGATTGATCTATGTCGTTTGATTGTATTGGTATATGTGACCATTGATGGGTCGAGTCACGATAAATGTGACGAAGGCCGCTTTGATCCTATATTGATATAGTCAATGGACGAGATTGTTCAAAAATACCATTTTAGTGATAGCAATTTTTGAGCTCATAAGGTTATACACAATTTAAGGAATCATATGGTGCCCAAGTGGGAGATTGTTGGATTTAATCTAATAAATCTATTTGTGGGCACATATGATTAATCATTGTGTATTGCTATCTTTCAGGATAACCCACTGAAGTGATCAATTAAGTTGGGTTAATTTGGTATTTAAATGATCATGGGGTCATATGTGCAGATACCAGGTTGTAATTATAATTTATTGAGGGGCTAAATTACAAAAGTACAACATCTATAAATAAGGGGTTATGGTCCCTAACCTAGGGTTACATTCTCTAATTCTCTACACCCCCATCTAGCTAGAGAAATTCGGATTTAGAGAAACCCTAAGGTTAGAAGATCAAAACCCATCTCAAGATCAAGCAATGGATTCAGGTATAAGCTTCCGCTCTCTTTTGATTTTGTTAATCTCTTTGAATTAATCATGGCTATATGGTTTTAGATCTCAAGTTTTATGATGTAGATCTAACAAGATTTTCATGTGAAGGATAATGTAAGTGAAGAAGTGGCGAGAAAAGTTCAGAAAATCCGCAGAAAGCAGCCAGGCAGATTGGCGATCGACAGCAAGTCAGCGGCGGTCGACCGCGAAATGCACAAGAGCTCAGGAGGAGCTGGATCAGAAAGCGGTCGACCGCCACGGTCGACCGCGAGGAGATTCGGTCGATTGCCGCCGTCGACCGCACCATGACTGTAATGAATTTTGCTCTCGGGTTTTGGTTCGGTCGACCGCGCGTTGTTTTTGGGATGAGCTTTGAGTTTTCAACCCGTTTCGTTTTGAGTTAGTATATAACTCTAATACTGATTAATTAGGATTAAGTAAGTACATTTTTCGGCAACATATTAGTATTTTTTTTTTTTTTGACAATAAATAGGCCTCCAATTTGACCGGACCCCAATTTTCGGCTGTTTGGTGGAAAACAAGATGACAAATGAAATGAAATAAAAAGAGCACGAGATGATAGCCCATCTAGTAGACAAGCTTATTTTCAGAAGTAATCAAAATCTTTCTTGTTACTCGCATCAAAGTAGATAGACCTCACATGTCTATTTTTAACAGCCCGTTTCCTCACAACTCCGCATCATTATTAGAAATATTCGTTTCCTTGCCATAGTTTCGAACAACAGTACTACGAAATTAACAACTTTCAGAGTGAAACCAAGAATGACGGAGAAACTATCCCATACACAGCACTAACAATGGAACTCATGTAAAATTGAGTAACAAAAAAGAATCTCGAAAAAAATAATATTAACATTTGATTCATACCGATGAGCATACATATGGTTGGTGACACCGACCACTACACACTCAAACTGGATGTAAAACTGCTGCAATCTTAAGTACACAGCAAGCTCTGAAGATACATCGTTAAAGATCCTGTTCTTTTTGTATCGTACTGTATACCGTTAGGTGGCTCTCTCACGAACATATCCGACATGGTCTTTTTTTTTTAAGTATTGTGCTAAATCTACTTACTTCGGGCGTCATCGTCTAAATCCATAAACTTTCCGGTAATCCTGCACAAAACCATGATTGTTGAGTTTGTAGTAAGCCTCTGGTGTTATTGTGAAAAAAAGCACAAGATTAAGATAAAGGTCCAGGGCGCAAAATGTGTACTGTGCTAGGGTGCCATAGAAACTCCAAGAAACTAAATAGAAAATGCAAAACTTTTTTTTTTTTTTTGTGTCCAGGGAACTACAGTCAAGATGTGTCAATAATCAATGCCTGCGAAAGATGAATGCAAAAAGTTCCTGGAACAAATGTAGTCATCTTCACTTGTCATCTCTCCATTTCGTCTGGAGAACTGATACCTAGTCTCTTGTCAATTACGTAGGGCTAAAAGTTTATCACTGATGAACAATAGTCAGCAGATTAAGCAACCAGCAAGTTAAGCAAGAGAAAATAAAACACTTCTACGCAGTTCTCTGACCTAATTCATAGGTGAGACCAATTTGAGGACACATACACAGAAATGCCACTGCTCTATAGAAGACAGGAGGTATTATGTAAATTAGTTTTTCTTATCAAGACTAGATAAAGAAACAATAAAACAAGGGACAAGGAAACTCACCGGTCATATGATAAGAAAGCGTCTCCAATATTCCCTATTACCTTATTTCGTACCTTGCGTACACAAACCTATCAGTAGATAATTATTAGTGAGCATAAGGTAATGCAAACTTGCAAAGCTCTCTATGCTGCAAACTGAGGCGAACCTGAACGCGGTCAAGAGGCCCGGCTTTTTCATCCCGGTTCCGATGAATGACAATACCATTATCACATTTATTGATAAAATGTGCACTTCCACTAATATCATACAGATTTGGTGCACCACCTCCCCATTGTTGAAGCTTTGGAAAAAAAAATTTAGTCAGAAGAGTATAAATCACACGCATGTTCTAACATTTGGAACTACCAGCAATTAAATGGATTACCTGTCTGGGATGCGCAACAAACCATACATGACATGAATGATGTTGAGCAAAACGTTTGATCTTGGTTAGCATCTGACTCACATACTCAGTCTCTGTCCTGTAGGATAGAAGGCAAGCATATCAGAACAATAGTTTTGTGCTTAATTATGAGCAAGCTTGCCGCAATTTTAACTCATTGAACCATACTACCATCCAAAAGAAGTGCATCTCTCTAGGAAATGTAAAGAATATAGAAGACTAATGCCGTCAAAATATTGCATTTCTACACTCTTTTCTTTTTTTCCTCACAGTTTTCTTGTATTTCATTTATGTTAATTCTAATTCCTTTGGATTCTAAAACTTCTTCATGCCGCTCCTAATCTCACCAATTAATACTAAATCACTAGTAACTGACACTGACCATGGATAGCATCATAAACAATCTCAGTAAAATCATTCATAACAGATGCGAAGATCTATGGACTACATGCCGATCCTTGTGTTAACTTATAGTAATATGTAACATCGCATTGTTGACTAATTTATAAAATGCAGAAGTAGAAGTCTCACTGATTTGGAGGCCGCTGGTGATCCAGTTCATTGTACGGATCGATCACAAGTCCACGGGTATGGCAGAGGGTGTGGTAAAACTTGAAAAATACCATACCAACTCTCATAAAATCTCAAAACACTGTGAATGATGCTAGAATATGTAAATAACTATTATGCAATTCTGAAAGATAGATTAAAATACAAGCCAAAGTTCCGGAAGTACGGATTCTTCGAAACTATAACTTCATCAAACACTAGATTTATTTCCGTGAGTGGTTCGTTTGAAAATCTGGGCTTAGATCTAGAAAAAGTTTGATTTTTTATAGGGTGAAATTCAGATGTTATAATAGTCAGCAGTAGAGGAAAATAAAAATGTACTAGCATCCAAACTCACCGAATGAGATGAAAAGTTCTGTTCAGCCATTCTTTCCCTTGTATTAACTCAGTTTCAGTCATGCGTTCAGCTGATCCTCCATAGCTGGAAAAAACGCAGCAATACACAAGAGCAACTTAAGGAACTTCTTATCACTGAAAGATTTTATTATTGGTTGCATAGCTTGCATTTTAGGTGTAAAATGAGACATTATGGTTGTGATCAAAACAAAACCGCACAAGATCAAATTACCTAGCATCGAAGAATGGTTTCCCAATGTGTTTCTCCAAAAGCTTCCTTGCATGCTCCCGAACCTAAAGGTGAGTAAAAACGGAACTATTTAGACAGTTTAAAGTATAAGTAGACCGAAGTCAGCAGATAAGGAGATAAAAGTTCAATTCAGCAAGTAACTTGCCTTGTTTTCCATCGAGCAGAGGGCAAAGGACCATCCTTCACTTTTATTGATATTGCACAACAATGCATCAATCCACTCACTTTTGCCCGAATTTGGCACACCTGTTATCACAGTTAACTCTCCAGGCACAACCTGTCCAAGACAGTTTCAACATTAAAAATTCAAGATACAAGTCCGCCCAGCAGCATGCATGCATGCACAAAAAATGCTATATGTGATTGACTAAATGCTTCTAGCTCACTCCAAAAGGCTGGAGTTGTTGACAGGTTCACAATAAGCTTTGGCAGATTAACAGTAAGCAACATGCCAATCTTGGGGAGTGTAAGCTAGGTTACAAGTAACCCAGACATGAGAGATCTATTGCAGATTATTCTCATAGTTGGGTCAAAACAATTTCGTGACAAATCAAGATTTTTGTTTGGTGTGAACTAAACAATGAACTGAATTTGACCTAACAACCAAGTAGTTGAACCAGATCAAAGGAAAGGATCAGGCAAAGCCATCAAATGTAACATGAAAAATACCATACCAACTCTCATAAAATCTCAAATTTGCTGA